GAAGGAAATAGAACTGCGTTTAAGCTCTGTGAAGGAAATAGAACTGCGTTTAAGCTCTGTGAAGGAAATAGAACTGCGTTTAAGCTCTGTGAAGGAAATAGAACTGCGTTTAAGCTCTGTGAAGGAAATAGAACTGCGTTTAAGCTCTTTGAAGGAAATAGATCAAAAAAAAGTTATGTGCAAGCTTGAAATAGACAGTCAGGACAACACAAGAAGAACGTTTAGGCTTTCTACTTCAAGCTTCCCCTTACCTCTCCCTTCTAGTTCCTTATAACTTCTTTACCTACATGGGTAACTGATGGACATAGAGCGACAGACGAAGCCCATGGCGACTGTTGGTTATCAACGGCTGAAACTGACAGCGCTACCCTTTTCATTTGTTTTAAAGGTTAAAACACACATAATAAGTGTAATAAACCATAAAGCTTACATTTTTTGTCTGCTAGGTGGATATCTGGAGACCCAAGTGGCCAGCTCAAAGACAGTCGCTGGCTCGGGCAAAACTCTAATGAAGAGCTCTCTTAGAATGAGGTATCAGAGCTTTGCTACCGGCAAGGACTTCCGGTTCAACGATACAGCTTGGCTGGGTGCTGACGGTATTTATTCAACGGTAACAAGTATATGAAAAAAAAAACAACAACAAAGAAACAAACAAACAAAACAACACAATCTGGCCTTCCAATCCCCAGGTCAGGATACCCTCACGGAGTGTCCCTTGCGTCTAATGAAATGTCCTCTTCAACACCGGACACAGAAACATTGCACATCCCCTCTACATGCATAGGAGCCAGAATGATCAATAAATTGTTCATATAGAATCAATATAATATATAGAAGAATAAGAACTTGCTGCAATTATTTTTTTATTGTTTATAAATTCATATTAATTGGTAATTACATCAGCTTCTTCCTATTTAATGTATGTTTTGTTTGCTTGGTGCCCTTATGGCTTTGTAGTCCAAAAAACAAAAAATCCATTCAATTGAGAGCCGCTTTAAAAAACATAAACACATCCTGTAACAAAAAAACAACCTAGTCAAGTTATCTTACTATTCCCGAAAAATTTAAACAAAAATTTAAAAATTCAGAAATGGTTCATTAAAAAAAAAGTCCCACCACAAACGAAAATGTCCCAACCACCAACAAACTGGTCTACCACAACGAACGACCACAGACTCCCAACCACCAACAAACTGGTCTACCACAACGAACGACCACAGACTCCCAACCACTAACAAACTGGTCTACCACAACGAA